CCCAGGGGGTCAGGGGTCACTCACAGTCCAGCCCAGCCCGGTTTGGGACCGGAGGAGCTCCCGCAGCTCCCTGGCCATGCCCTCCCCGGGCACGTCGGTCTCCACCACCTTCAGGAAGGGCCCCACGAGCAGCCCCAGCCCCCCCGTCTTGTTCAGGGCCTCCTGAGGGTCCCGCAGGCGGGTGCCCCCCACCAGCACCCTAAAAACAGGGGGAGGAGAGTCAGCACTCCAAAAATCACCCCCAGCACCCCAAAAATCACCCCCAGCACCCCAAAAAACAAGAGAGTAAGAGTCAGCATCCTAAAAATCAACCCCAGCATCCTAAAAATGGCGGGGAGAGTCAGTACCCCAAAAATCACCCCCAGCACCCCAAAAATCACCCCCAGCACCCTAAAAACGGGAGGGAGAGTGAGTACCCCAAAAATCACCCCCAGCACCCTAAAAATGGGGGGATGAGAGTCAGCACCCCAAAATCACCCCCAGTACCCTAAAAATCACCCCAAAAATCACCCCCAGCACCCTAAAAATGGGGGGAAGAAAGTCTACACCCCAAAAATCACCCCCAGCATCCCAAAAGTCAACCCCAGCACCCTAAAAACGAGGGGGTGAGAGTCAGCACCCTAAAAATCACCCCCAGCACCCTAAAAACAAGGAGAGCAAGCAGGAATCGCATCCTCAGCACCCTAAAAATGGGGAGAAGAATCAGGAGTGTCTCCCTAGCACCCTAAAAACCACCCCCAGCACATTAAAAATCGGGAGAGAAGACAGGAATCCCCACCTCAAACCCCACAAAAAGGGGAAAACAAACAGGAATCCCACCCTCAAACCCCTAAAAATAGGGAGAAAACTCAGAAGTGTCCCCTCAGCACCCCAAAAATCACCCCCAGCACCCTAAAATCGCAGAGACCCGACCTGGCCGCTCCTCCTGGTCCCGACTCCTCCGTCAGGTTCCTCCACTTGGCCACCACTGACGCCTGAGGGGACACGGGGGGGTCACCCCACAGCCCCCCCGGCACCTGGAGACCCCCCAGCCCCTCAGCCCTCCCCAAAAATTCCCCAGAGCCCATTCCTACCCCAGAACTCGCCAACACCCCAATTGTACCCCCACAGAGACCTCCTGGTCCTCAACAGACCCCAAACCCCAATATCTGCCTTTACAGGCCCCACCACCCCAAAATCCCCTGAACCCAAACCCCAACATC